TTACAGGTAACTACTACTGTTACAGGTAACTACTACTGTTACAGGTAACTACTACTGTTACAGGTAACTACTACTGTTACAGGTAACTACTACTGTTACAGGTAACTACTACTGTTACAGGTAACTACTACTGTTACAGGTAACTACTACTGTTACAGGTAACTACTACTGTTACAGGTAACTACTACTGTTACAGGTAACTACTACTGTTACAGGTAACTACTACTGTTACAGGTAACTACTACTGTTACAGGTAACTACTACTGTTACAGGTAACTACTACTGTTACAGGCAACTACTACTGTTACAGGTAACTACTACTGTTACAGGTAACTACTACTGTTACAGGTAACTACTACTGTTACAGGTAACTACTACTGTTACAGGTAACTACTACTGTTACAGGTAACTACTACTGTTACAGGTAACTACTACTGTTACAGGTAACTACTACTGTTACAGGTAACTACTACTGTTACAGGTAACTACTACTGTTACAGGTAACTACTACTGTTACAGGTAACTACTACTGTTACAGGTAACTACTACTGTTACAGGTAACTACTACTGTTACAGGTAACTACTACTGTTACAGGTAACTACTACTGTTACAGGTAACTACCACTGTTACAGGTAACTACTACTGTTACAGGTAACTACTACTGTTACAGGTAACTACTACTGTTACAGGTAACTAATAATGTTACAGGTAACTACTACTGTTACAGGTAACTACTACTGTTACAGGCAACTAGTACTGTTACAGGTAACTACTACTGTTACAGGCAACTACTACTGTTACAGGTAACTAGTACTGTTACAGGTAACTACTACTGTTACAGGTAACTACTACTGTTACAGGCAACTACTACTGTTACAGGTAACTACTACTGTTACAGGTAACTACTACTGTTACAGGTAACTACTACTGTTACAGGTAACTACTACTGTTACAGGTAACTACTACTGTTACAGGTAACTACTACTGTTACAGGCAACTACTACTGTTACAGGCAACTACTACTGTTACAGGTAACTAGTACTGTTACAGGCAACTAGTACTGTTACAGGTAACTACTACTGTTACAGGCAACTACTACTGTTACAGGTAACTAGTACTGTTACAGGTAACTACTACTGTTACAGGTAACTACTACTGTTACAGGTAACTACTACTGTTAGGTACTACTACTTTACAGGTAACTATCCTGTTACAGTAACTACTACTGTTACAGGTAACTACTACTGTTACAGGTAACTACTACTGTTACAGGTAACTACTACTGTTACAGGTAACTACTACTGTTACAGGTAACTACTACTGTTACAGGTAACTACTACTGTTACAGGTAACTACTACTGTTACAGGTAACTACTACTGTTACAGGTAACTACTACTGTTACAGGTAACTACTACTGTTACAGGTAACTACTACTGTTACAGGTAACTACTACTGTTACAGGTAACTACTACTGTTACAGGTAACTACTACTGTTACAGGTAACTACTACTGTTACAGGTAACTACTACTGTTACAGGTAACTACTACTGTTACAGGTAACTACTACTGTTACAGGTAACTACTACTGTTACAGGTAACTACTACTGTTACAGGTAACTACTACTGTTACAGGTAACTACTACTGTTACAGGTAACTACTACTGTTACAGGTAACTACTACTGTTACAGGTAACTACTACTGTTACAGGTAACTACTACTGTTACAGGTAACTACTACTGTTACAGGTAACTACTACTGTTACAGGTAACTACTACTGTTACAGGTAACTACTACTGTTACAGGTAACTACTACTGTTACAGGTAACTACTACTGTTACAGGTAACTACTACTGTTACAGGTAACTACTACTGTTACAGGTAACTACTACTGTTACAGGTAACTACTACTGTTACAGGTAACTACTACTGTTACAAGGTAACTACTACTGTTACAGGTAACTACTACTGTTACAGGTAACTATACGGTAACTACTACTAGTTACAAGGCAACTACTACTGTTACAGTGCAAGACTACTGTAATATGCCCAGATTGCTTCTTTGTATACTTGCGGTTACTAGCCACTAAAACTGGCTGTGGTAAGCTGCTTTACCACAAAAACACATTATTATGCAATCCTACAGAACTTAACAAGTTGTTAAAGGAAATCATCACTGGCTTTACACACCAATCTCCTGCTTCCCATTTGGCTAGTTGTCATGGTTACAGTGTTCCATTGGCTAGCTTTTTGAGCTTGGTGTTACTTCTGATTGTGTGTTTCAGGTAGAGAGTACTGGAAGTTGTGGGTACTTTGTGTAGTCTGCATGGGCTACATGACACACATTCTTTATCCTTTAATCTTTCTCAAACAGTACATAATATACAGGATTCAGTATTATAAACAACCACAGATATAATAAAAGGAGAAAGAAGCAATAAGTATACCCCATGTATCCAGTACCCAGTATAACCAAAAAACACATTATGTTAGGGTTCCACCAAACACGGTGCAGTAATTAAATTACCACACCGCATAACATGGGGGGCTGTAGCAAATAATGTAAGAATAAAAGAAAACAATTCTCGCATCCTAACTACTGATAACTACGGGGGTCCCTAATGAGTTGAAGAAGTACAACAGAAAAAGGTACAGATATTATAAGTTTGTGTTTTTGCCAGCTTAATTAAGGGCAAACTATTATGTTTTTTTTAAAGTTAGTTTATGATTTAGTTCTTCGTATAGTATTTTAAGTGGAGTATCATGTTTTTTATTTCCTGTTTAGCGTTCGACTGATTTCCTTTCCATTAGATTTCTTTCTTATGCACATCAGTGTGAATTTTATTGTGAAGACGTAAGTTTCCAAGTATAGTAAATTTATTCCTGCAACTATCCATCACTACTGGCAGACCGGCTTCACTGCGACAGAATCTCTCTTTAAAAAGTTATTTATCAAACTATCGTAATTATTTGATATTAATAACTTTAGCAGTATTATTGTCCCTTGTATTTACAATACGCAATCGACATAGCAGTTGCTGTTTTTAGTTAGTTAGATACTAAATACTAACCGGGCTCGCTACAAGGTGGTTGCATAGTTAAGATACTAAAACTAAACGGGATCGCTACAATGTGGTCTGCTTAGTTAAGATACTAAAACTAACCGGGCTCGCTACAATGGTGGTCTGCTTAGTTTAAGATACTAAAACTGACCGGGCTCGCAATAAAAGTGGTATCTGCTTAGTTATGATACTAAAACTAAACGGCTCGCTACAAAGTGGTTCTGACTGCTTAGTTAAGATAACTAAAACAACCGGGATCGCTACAAAAGTGGTCCTGCCTTAGTTAAGATACTAAACTAACCGGGGCTCGCTACAAGTGGTCTGCTTAGTTAAGATACAAACTGACCGGGCTCGCTACAAAGTGGTTGCCTTAGTTAAGATACTATAAACTACCGGGCTTCGCTACAAAGTGGTCTGGATTAGTAAGATACTCTAAAAACTAACGGGATAGCACCCGCTACATAAAGTGGTTCTGCTTAGTTAAGTATACTAAAAACTAAAACGGGCTCGCTACAAAGTGGTTCTGCTTAGTAAGATTACTAAAACTAACCGGGCTCTCGCTACAAAGTGATCTGCCTTAGTTAAGATTCTAAAAATAAAACGGGCTCGTACAAGTGGTCTGCTTATTTAAGTACTAAAACTAACCGGGCTCGCTACAAAGTGGTCTGCTTAGTTAAGATACTAAAACTAAACGGGGCTCGCTACAAAGTGGTACTGCTTGTTAGTTAAGATACTAAAACTAACCGGGCTCGCTACAAAGTGGTCTGCTTAGTTAAGATACTAAAACTAACCGGGCTCGCTACAAAGTGATCTGCTTGTTAGTTAAGATACTAAAACTAACCGGGCTCGCTACAAAGTGGTCTGCTTGTTAGTTAAGATACTAAAACTAACCGGGCTCGCTACAAAGTGGTCTGCTTAGTTAAGATACTAAAACTAACCGGGCTCGCTACAAAGTGTCTGCTTAGTTAAGATACTAAAACTAACGGGCTCGCTACAAAGTGGTTCTTGACTAAGTTAAGATTCTAGAGACTAAACCGGGCTCGCTTCAAAGTGTTTCTGCTTAGTTAAGATACTTTAACTTAACCGGGCTCGCTTACCATAGTGGTCTGCTTGTTAGTCTAAGATACTTAAACTAAACCGGCTCTAACAAAGTGGTCCTGCTTAGTTAAGTTACTAAAACTAAAACGGGCTCGCTACAAAGTGGTCTGCTTAGTTAAGATACTAAACTAAACGGGCTTCGCTACAAAGAGTCTGCTTACGTTAAGATCTAAAAACTTACGGGCTCGCTACTAAAGTGGTTCTGCTTAGTTAGATACTAAAACTTAACCGGGCTCGCTACAAAGTGGTATTGCTTAGTTAAGATTCTAAAAACTAACACGGGCTCGCTACAAAGTGGTATGCTTGTTAGTTAAGATACTAATAAACTAACCGGGCTCGATACAAGTGGTTATGCTTAGTTAAGTTACTAAAATAACCGGGCTCGCTTCAAAGAGGTCTGTTGTTAGTTAAGATACTAAAACTAATCGGGCTCGCTACAATGTGGTTCTGATTGTTAGTTAAGATACAAAAAACTACACCGGGCTCGCTACAAGTGGCTGCTTGTTAGTTAAGGATACTAAAACTAACCAGGCTCGCTGCAAAGTGGTCTGCTTAGTTTAGATACTAAAACTAACGGCTCGCTACAAAGTGCGTCTCTGCTTAGTTCAAGTTACTAAACTAACCGGGCTCGCTTCAAAGTGGTTCTATGATTGTTAGGGTAAGTTAATAAAAACTAACCGGGCTCGCTACAAGTGGTATGCTGAATAAGCGAAATGCCCGTCTTTGCTGCATGGTCACCTTGTTATCTCCACTTTGTTCATATCCCTCTTTCGCAGCACTGATTCCCTAGACCGGTGCTAGGTTCCTAGTCGTATGGGATTATGTCAGTGCGTGTGTATATTATCCATAAACTCCTATGATTCCTATATGATACTTTTTGAACTTTGAACAGCGTTTCTGAGGGACAACTTTGGGACTGTCTAAAAGAATACAGTCTGCTCTTTCTGTTCCGTACATGAGGCGAACAAGAAGTGCAGGCAAGGTGATCTTCTGTACACTAGTCATACACGCATCAGCTGAAATGTTAAGAGAGGTAAAGAGTGTGTATTTTTACTAATTAAATATTTGAAATAATTACGCTGCATAGGGTTACACCGGTACATGAGGTATACAATCATTAATAGTATTGAAACTATTATAATAATAACAACAAAGTAAAGTTACCTAACGCCCGAGTGAACTGAGAGTTGTCGACAATTTGAGGAGCCACAAAGTTGACAGGCCCACTGACTTCCTCATTCTCAATCATCATCTCCAGGGCGCTCACTGTATCGTCAATGTGTATCCAGGGGAAGGGTTGCTCACCTGATCCGACCACAGTTCCACCAAAAAGAAGGCCTTGTGGTAACAACATTCTCATAGGATCTGTGTTGTATGCCAGCACCACCCCTGATTGCGATGTTACAGTTACTTCTCACTACTGATTAAGCAGCTGAGTTGTTTGGTCAGAACAACGTTTTATATGATATTGGAAATAGGACCATTGGACCAATCAAAGATTTAATTTATCATATTCCATCAAGACGTGCTCTCACTTTCTGATAAAGATAAAGAGGAACTTTAAAGCTTACCGAATCTAGGGTTAACAACTCTGGTTTGACATTCCTCTGTTAGTTTAGAGCTCTCCTCCCACTTCAAGCAGAGGTCGGTAAAGTAGGTTTCCTTTCCTTTAGCTACCGGAGGGTCTGACTCTGTGTATGTCTTCTCGGCATCCAGACCGTACACTCCTAAATAATGAATAAGGAATTTAAAAATAAATCATCATCATTTCGTTTGAGCGTCTTCTGTGGCATTCACACTTGAAATCACGGGGAAAATAAGCCACCACGATCACGAGTTTTATGAAATGTGACACTATTCCTATGGAGATATAGATTATAGATATCTCTAACTAGTAACTAGGCAAATATTTGAAGAAGACCAACCTACCAACAGCAGAAGCAGATATAAAAAGTTTTGGAGGAGCCTCAGATTTAGCAATTGCTTTGGCAAGTTTTGTTGTTGTGTCGATTCTGAAAATGTTTGAACAATTGTTATGATCTGCCAGGTGTAATACAAAAGTAAATAACTTGCGATCTAAGAATTTCGATCTAAGAATTGTTACAGTTCCCTAAAAATATTTCGAACTACTGCTGTTACTAAACTTGGCTACTGCTAAACCTTGCTACTACTACTACTACTAGTGATTACCCACTAAATAGTAGTTAACGAACCTGCTGCTGGTAATGGATTTCTTTATTGAATTTATCCAAGGTCCCGGCTTGCCAATTGATTGGCCAGATAAATTTATAACAACATCCGTGTCCAAAGGCAGTCCATCTTTATCAATATCTTTCTGTAGAAAAAAGTCTCTCAGTACGGGGGGAATGCAACGTCAATTAATGTCAATTAATGTCAATTAATGTCAATTAATGTCAATTAATGTCAATTAATGTCAATGTCAGTTTGGGGTTTTTATGGAATACTGACATTAATTGACGTTGCATTCCCCCCCTCAGTACGCCGTACGGTGAATGAGAACAAGAACTTACAAGGGGTAAATAAGGCACATCAAACTGGTTGCCATTGATTGTGATTTGTGATCGGTTTCAAACACTTAAAACAAATTGAGTTTGACTTACCCAGCTTATGAAATTCTTTGCCATCTGATGTCTTGCTCCATCAGCAGGAGCTACTTTTGACGCTTTATTCAAGGCCTGAAAATTTAAGATATGATTTAAAGATTTAACAGTTGCTTTTGTTGGCTCATCCACTCATTCACCCCCATCTAATCAAACCTATCGAAGACAACTGTTTCAATAATTTTAATTCAATAAACAATCTGAGAAACAATAGAGGACGGACAATAATCTACAAAACCTTAAGGTATGTAAATACTGTTTAAGTACTTGTAATAAGTAAGTAAAGGATTCAGTATCAGAGTATACTCCTGAGAAGAAGAACTCGCACAGATATTCGAAATATCGCTAATCATGGCCCCTAGCCTCTGTTATTATGTACCTACCCATGCTTGTCTGGAAATCACGGAAACATTGTGACCCCCTTTGATGAGACTGCTGACAAGGTATTTCCCTATGTTACCAGTGCCTCCACCTATCACTATGTTCTTGACGCTCCCTGCCATACTACTGCAAATTGCAATGTTACAATTTTACGCTTACAGTGGCACAAAACACTGATATTATATAATACATAATTAACCGGAATTCTTATATTGTATGGTATGTATGTACGAATATTGAAATACTTTTCAGCTACCAATAGTTTCCAGATGAATCATTTGAAATTGTTTGTTAACTGTTTTAAATAAAAAATGAAGATGCTAATTGTCAGATCTAGAAAATATAATGTTGAATAATATTTCATCAGATACAAAACATGTAGACCAATTAAACAAAACATTTAACGCATTACATAATTTAGACCGATTCTAAAAGAAATCATAAAAAGACAGTGGTCACTGATAAAAAAAAGGTTACAAAAGTCATGAAAAATATCTCCCACTCCCGCAATACTAATGGAAGAAGCCTAGCAACAAAATAAACATTGACTTAAATCAATCATTTTTTGTCAAAAACTACCCCTTGAACATTTAAAAATTGAAGCGATGTATATAAAATATAATTATGAATTATAACGTCATAACAAATACAATCACATACAAAAATGCAAAACCAATCAAAATATCACAGCGGTCTCCTCACTTTCCACACCATCACCCCCAGGACCCCAGGGTCTAAGAGGTTTGGTATACTCGGAGGCCCAGTCCCTATCAAACACTCCAGCCACAGTCCCACACACACCACACCCTCCCCCGTTCTCCATGATCATACTAATCCCCCCAGTACTGGTGAAGTAGTCTCCAGACCAGTTACTTGTAGACACGTACGTGTTCTTATCTGTAACAACGAATTTAGCATGGTTGACTCGCGCGTACTGCAGACGCTCTTGTGCGGGTGTGTAGGCTGGTATGATGAACAGTTTGACTTTACTGACGACTTTATGGTCTCTTCCGCTGCCATCAAGAGCTGCAAGGCTGGAGAGATAGTGGTATTCATCAGATCGGGACAGGTTGTGCGGCATCAGACCTACCAGGAGCCTAAGTTCAACTCCACGGTTAAACACAGCTCTGCGCAGCGCATCGTCTATAACTGGCCAGTATTTGTTAGGATTAGTGTAGATAATGGCGGGAAAGTAGTCCATTACTTCAATGTGGATGAACTTCTCAGCTGAGTCCAACACATGTATCAGACCATCAATTCCAACAGTTCGGCTTTTTGTACAAAACTGTGGTGGGCTTGAAACTAAAAAGGCTGTCATCACAGTGTTTGATTGCATAGTTTTAAACCTCATGGGATTGTTGCTGTTGTATAAAGTATCCAACGATGCAGGGAATTTATCAGGAACTGGGTTGGTTGTAAGATACCAGTAAATTTCAAACATCTTTTGAAGATCCTGAGCGATAACTCGACAGTTTATACCCAGGATTCCCAACTCTTTGACCTGCCGAAGGGATTGCCAGTCCATGTTTGCAGACCCAAGATAGAAGCTTGTCTGATCAGCAACCCACAACTTAGTATGGATTATCCCACCCCCAATCAGTTTCTCAAAGTCGAGATACCTCACTTCTGCTGCTCCAGCATCCGCTAAATCCTTGGTATCAGGATCAGGAAACTCCTTATCAGGAACATTGTGCACAATCCTCAATCCACCTCCGGCTTCTTTTAATCTCAACCCAGTTCTCCGTAAACCACTCCAAATATCCCTCCCATCTTCATCAGATCCATCCTCGGCAGGTGGGCTGGGTCTCAGATCAAAGTAATACTCAGCGATATCAAGATTAAGTTGGGCTGCATCGAGTAGCTGAGTAAGAGCCATAGTGGTGGGCTCATTTCTTGGAAGGGAGGAGTTGGCGAAGGTGAGACCGTCAGGAATTGTTTCCACAATCCTTAGTTCTTCACAAGAAGTAGGGTCAAGTGACAGGGTATACGAGGAGAGGGGGAGCAGGAGCAGGGTCAGCAGAATTTGCTGCATCTTAGGAGTAGGGATATGATTAAAAGATATTTGTTTTCATTTTATTTTATGTGTTTAAATCTTCTCAAATTGTTCAAATTGTTAATAAAAGTAGTCTTATTTTTCCTCTATTGAATTTTACGGTTACTTTAATAGATTGAATGACTAGTTTGCAAAGTCACTAACTGTCAGATTGCGAATGAGAGTCTTCGGAAACAGTTTAACTTAGGCTAAAAATAAAACTGACATTTAGTAGCCATTTGTAGAAAATAAATAGTCTCAAAATTATGTTACAGCAAAACGTTTAAACACATTATCCGACAATCAATAAATAAACTTGGGTTTAATGAAATTTCAAAAAGGCGTTGAAGAACGTTACGTGCAGGTGAATGCAAAACTCGACATTATAAAATGGACAGGCAAATACTGTGTAATATTATATGGTTAAAGGTACTATGAAACTTGATACAATACGTACCATGGGAATTTGAAATGAAAATATACCTAGTGAGTAAAGAGAAGCATACAAGGAAATGAAATGAATCAGGGTGAAAAACACAGTATCATTTATTTTCCTACTAACATTTTCTTTCAGTCTTTTCAAATCCCACTAAATAAATAGAAAATAACAGATAATATTAGCTTGAACGGAACTAGATACCAAGATTGGCTTGCAGTTCCATTATTTCGAGTTCATCCAGAATAGCACGTGTCATGTCACGAGTCTTGGCTTTCCCACCGAGGTCTATTGTACGACAGCTTCGCTTGTTTAAAACATTCTCTGAAATATTACGTCATAATTATATCATAATTACATCACGGCCATATCTTTTTATTCATATGTGTTATTATTATCTAATTCCATTCACTGGTAATAAATGAAACAATTGAAATGATACAATTATTTATAAATAATAATATAGTCATGTGATGAGTGATCCGTGGAAGATTAGTCTACGTAATGCGGTCTATACCCTCTATAATACAAATTTTCAATCTTGACCGAAACAGAATTCCTAAAGTTTTAAATGTATATGTGATTGATATGTACGTCATGCTAAATACTATGAGTTTCATTGGTGCACCATGACGACAGCTACAGGACGAGATGAGAATGGATGATCTCGGGATAGCATTGTGACAAGCCGGTGCCGTGCAAGCCACAGGGTTATAAGGTGCTCCTGGCTTTCTGATAATGATGCTGGGAGATGTGTGTATGCTTCATACTTTGAAGATCTGTTCATGGTTACCTATAATCTTATGACTAAGCATACAGGGTGTCCAGTTCGTTCAAGATAGCTCGTGTCATCTCTGGAGTGGTAGCATTCCCGCCAAGATCTCGTGTTTTACAGCTCTGCTTGTTCAACACTAACTCTGTCAGATTGGGGTGCGTGTGATAGTGCCAGGACAGTAAAACGGTCCGTTTACAGAGTTGGGTTTAACCATTATTATATAATATAATATATTTGTAATGATGCGGGCAATCACAGATCACAGATCACAGATCACAGATCACAGATCACATATCACAGATCACAGATCACATATCACAGATCACAGATCACAGATCAATGATCTTTCTGAAAAGTCCTATACCCCTACGATTTTACTTACTGACTGCTTGGATCAACTTGTCTCCAGCATCGTGGAGAGTTAGATGTTTCAGCATGAAAGCGGAACTGAGGACCATTGCTACAGGGTTTGCAACGTACATTCCTTTCATTTCCATCCATGTGTGACGAGCACCAGGTTCAAATACCTGGACGTAAGAATTGAGTTGGCCAGTTTCTTTGATCAAGCTTTAAAATATATCAATTTAAAATTAGACAAGTTCATCAACCGGAACCTTTATCGGTTTAAATTTTGAAGGGTCAAAGTAAAGAATAACTTTTCCCTATCATATTGCTGAGGAAGGTACTTTGAATTAAAATGAGATCTGATATAATACCCTAATCATACTTACAGCTATTTCACTGCCGTAACTCTTGCTGGGAACTACTCCTGCTCCGCCAACTAAACCAGCAGCCAGGTTGGATACCAGGTTACCATACAGGTTAGGCATCACCTGAGACATGTATGTACACTAAACAGCGGAATCATAATACATATTACATGACTCATATTGTTATTATATATCCACCAGCGTGCGCTTTTTCGCATAGCGGGCTCTCACCAGCCCGCTGTCAAAGGGCCCGATATCTCTACAGCCCGCTCATGATATAGCCCGCTAACAAGTGACATTTAATTTGACCAGTAGCAATATAGCCCGGAGTTCTCTAAAATATTTTCAGTTTCTGTATCGTCTCCATGTAAAATTCCTTATTACACTGACTATATACATTTTATTTTGGTGTCCGGTAGGGCTGTTCATGCAGCTCGTGAGCAGATGACATGATACTTTGATTTATATCAAAGTTATTATAACACACTACATAATACACATCAGCACTATAATCCCCCTATATTATTGATATTCATCGTCACTGACATTACATTCATTATTCCCACGGCCCAGGAATGCAGTGCATCTCCAGCCCCTATATACGACACAGCCCTTTATGATTGACTTACATTGAACACGTGACGTGTTACCATGGTTACAACAATTAGTGGCGACCTTTTCGAGAGATGACTTTTATACAAGCTCCATTGTTTATTTATAAAATTATATATTAACTGTAATACGCCCGCTGGTGGATATAATCCACATCACCTCGACCCGCGGGCGGAAAAATCGTATAGCACTCGGGCCCGATGGGCCCTCCGTGCTATACGAAAATATGTCCTCCTCGGGCTAGCGCCCTCGGGGACATATGAAATATTGCACGCGCGTGCGCGTGCAATATTTTGTTCCGCCCGCGAGTCTCCGGTGATATGTATATATATGAGACAAGAGGAACGCCATCTTAGGTCACGATCGCGACTCGCGAGGAGGATTAATACTTTTCCTAACGTAGGTCACTGAGGCAGTTTGAATTGTTTTAACTACATAATATTTAAATGCTAAGATAACTTTTTGAAACCGAGTTTGTACTTACCATGACGTCAAATTGCTGTGGGTTTATGACGAGTTGCTGGCAAGTGTTGTCTACAATCTGTTCATCGTAGTCGATTGTAGGGTACAGTTCGGACACCTGGTGATAATATGGTATTACTCACATAATATGGTATTACTCATATCATTTCAAACAAAATGTACATTTGCATTCCACATTCATAGAAAAATGTATTTAGTAAATTTCGATCGGTTCTTACATCAAAATTTAAACCAAAGGACATTTATAGCACTGTAATATAACTGGCTTGCTCAGCTCCAGATGGTAGAATTCCACATTAAAATACAAATTTCTAACTTTCTAAAGTGCAATGTTTCAAAACAAACCTCTTGGCAACACGACTTAAAAAGACCATCACTCAGCTTCATAATGTTAGCCTTGTGAATGCAAGTCACTTTTTTTCTATTGTGCTCAAGGGCGTAGTCGAATGCGAACTTAGCGATCCTCATGGACTTTTCACGAGTGATAACCTTGAAGGACTCAACGACTCCTGGCACAGACTCGTGCTCCAAACAGCTGTACTCCCCTTCTGTGTTCTCACGGATTGCAATCAGATCTATCCCTGCAAATGGTAAAGTTTTACATATCATTGCAATGATCTTTTTTATATTTATGCCATTTTCTCAGTGGCGAAAACCGAAAATTTTTGGATAAAAAGCAAATAATGGAAAATAAGGAGCTCTGATTGTACCTGTGTGGTGAGTTTTGATACCGTCAAAGCTCACGGCTCTAACAACATTGGCGTATGTGTCCAGGTTTCCTCTGAACTCCATGTTATGATGTCTGAAGTCACCTGACCTGTTCAGCACACCTGACACAATTTGGTTTAGTTGAAAAAGAAATTATAACAGAACCATGATGAAGTTTTGTAATATATAATAACATATTAAATGATGTTCAAACTCAAAATTTGTGGAATTTGAGGATGATCTTATAAATTAAATTAAATCTTAAGTTATGAGTTACACTTACACTATAAAAATCTATGTTCTGAAATTTATTTTACCTTTTAGTCCAACACCATTGCGTTTCAGTGAAGTGATGGCCATGTTGAAAGAACCCTCATCATTGAGTGTGTGTTTGGTGAGCTCAATAGTTTCAAACTCTACCGGAACAGCCATTTCCTTGAAGATGGTGGTCACAGACTCGCAGATCTCAGGACCCACTCCATCACCTGCACACACAATATAGTTATAGCTGTGGAATACATTTCATATAAACCAAACATGAATTCTTTGGATATTTCCATTAGATTTTATGACTCCAAACATTAGAGTAAAATGGAGGGAATATAACATTAATATTTAAAGTTAGGTACTGCATAGCAACGGAACGTTTAATGCTAAAAGAAAAAGAGACTGCAACAATCAGCTAAATTAGATTAAAAGGTACAGAAAATTAGCATGAATAGAAAGAATCTGAGGTCTTTATAATTGTCCATGTGAGAAAAGTGTAAAGAATTTTGATGCCAATTTGATATTGAAGTTTTGAAGGGACGAAATGGCATAGAAATTTATATTCCACTGTAATGATAAAAATGCTAGATACATTTTCTCCTTACATCCATAAATTTCATAAAATCTAATACGTTGAAGCATACGCCATATATATCTGCCATGTTGGGAAAAGTGCAAACCAAGAAATATTAATAAAGAACATTTTTCAGCACAATGTACGGGCAACAATGATGGTGAAAAAATCAGTCCCAAGCTCATCTTACCAGGAATAAGTGTACAAACTGCAGTTCTTTTGGTCCACGATGCTACAATGACAAGAATATTAGCTGATTAGGTGCTGGCTTTTTGGCATCTGATTATAGAATTATCTTCCATAAAAGTTACCACATCACAGACACTGGTCACATAATAAGAAAGAAAACTGATAGGTTTCTTTAATGTGTGATTTGGTATTCTCAAAGTTTAGATATTACACTGGTATTATTTCGAGCATTGAACACTAGTTATGACTATTCAAACCAGATATTGTAGGATACAAGATTAGAGGGTCACAGGTTTCAATGCATCTGTAAAATCTACAATGAGATTATTTAAAGCAATAAACTTATAAACATAGAATTGGCTCTTCCTAGCTTTGAGAGTCAATCTGAACACCTGTCATGCGGAATAACAACCCAGATAAATACCATCACAGTTAGAATAAACCCCGAACTTATTACATAGATAACAGTAAATAGTTAATAATAGTACTATGTTTACAGTATGCACTGAAGGAATATCCAAGGAAGTTTCTTGAACTTCTAACAGGTACCCCTCCTCATTTAACCCTCATAAAGTTTTCCTATCATTCGGAGTCAACCGAGGAGATTGCATGAATATTTGCAAAATCTTAGAAGTGCTTACCTGGGATAAGTGTGACAGTTGTTTTTCCTCCATACTTTGTCCCTGGTTTAATGCCAGTTGTTGTGCTTGCAGCTTTGCACCCAGTCAGTGAAACAAGAGGACGTGCTAGGGAACGCAACATGGTATTGACAATCCTAATAATTGAAGTTAGGTAAAATAATTTAACAATTTTTGGTTAGAATGTTCACTTTGAGACTAATGTAGGGGGGGGGGGGGGGTAAAAATCAATTTTCTAGTTTTAACTTAATAAGTGGTAGAGCTGTTGGAGATGAACAGGTAGGGAAAAAAACTGCATGAAAGTCTGACTTTTTGTTGCTGGGATGTTAGTGGTTTTCCTATAAAACTTGAACTGTAACTCAAAAATGTAAATTTCAACTTTTGGAAAAGACTGGCAAGACTGTAGTCTAGCACCAATGAAACAATAAGTTTTCAACTTGAGGAAATATTCTTTGGTGGTTGTATATAATTATTTATTAAACTTTATTTAGTTGTTAGTATTTTTATCATGGTGCCAAGTGGTTGAATTTAGTGAGACAGGGTCACCATCTGTCATTTGGATTGATAAATGATAGGGAGTAAGGAGGGTTCTATCCAAACATCTGAGCACCCTGCTTCTTTCATTAGGTTTGTCATGATATCTCTCAAAGAGTTATGCCTCATTGACGCATAGCCACCCTTTTTTACAGGATGGAAAATGTCATTATTTTCTCGGAGTCAGCCAATTCACAGACTTTCGAATCCTGGTTATGGAGTAGCAGTCCCCAGCACCCCACCAGAACGATTAAATGGGGACAAAAAATTGAGAATTAGTATGAATGAGGACTCCCCATCAATTCTTTTATTTGAAAATGCAACATATTTTGATATACTAAATGATAAATAGTACTGCAATATAAGTTGCATAATGTGTGGCCGAATAAAAACTAACTAAACAAGAAAAATAAACTAGATTATATAATAATTAATTCGGCTGAACTAACACATAGCAAGAGCCACATTAACGTTGGGGCCGTCTACCAAATTTGCATGACAAACAATAACAAGAAATCAAACATATCATGAATAATTATAAGTATTTTGATCAATACAATTCTGTCACAACTGAGCACAAGAAAAATAGGGGAGAGAAGCGGACAGAATTATAACCAACAAAAAACACATTTTTGGGAATCATATGAGAAGACTGATGAGCTAATCTGGCCAGACTGTATCGGCAGCCCATAGGTATTTGATCAGTTTAGCCTTAAAAGTAAAAATCCGCTCTGACTGCCGCATACATACTGATAGACTATTCCATTTCAGCATAGATCTATGTAAGAAGCTATTTCGGAAGGCACCTGAGCAGGGCACAGTAGTACTCATGTAAGTTGAAACTTGAAGTATCCGACCTATCAATTATTTGAGCATTGTTCCTTAACATGACAGTGGAGTGCATAGGATTTTTAGGCGAGTAATCCGCTTTAAAAAAAATACTGAATTAGGCGCTAAACCAATAGGATATCAATACAGATTATAAAATTCCACTACTTTTGAGAAGGTTCAAGAGTCAAGACAGTTGATAAAACACTCGGTTATAAGTAAGATTTTAATTTTTAAAACATTGGGATTTGGGGGGCAGTCCCTGGAATTTGTTTACTGAATACGCTAAACCAATAGGATATCAATACAGAATATCATATTCTACTAATTTTGAGAAGGTTCAAGACAATTGATAAAACACTCACACAGTGTATTGGGTGCCCTCTGCATTGACAGCATAGGACTTTTTAAAAAAAATTTTAAAACTGGCCACGGGCCTAAATATTATTATTATCAATCAGCTACAATTCATAATAATAATAATAATAAATTAATGTTATTTTGATACAGCACCAAAAGGTTAAATAATTTAAATTTAACCCTTATGCTCAGCTGTAAATGATACCTAAATGACAGTAGAGATCGTGCATCTCGCCTTGGACTGGAATTAAAAACGGGAGTTTATAGCTACAAGTTAAATCCTGACTAAATAAGGCAGAAACACCTTTAACAAGAAGATATCCAAGAAAGGTTAGCAGGTTTTCTAACAAAACATATGAAAAATAGATGATGACCACAAGAAATCTATGTATGAGACTCCAAATATATATAACTCCAAATATACAAACAATCTGAATACTTCAATATACAATACAAAATTATTAAAAAAGCTTACTGCAGAACAGTAACTGATGTTACAGAAAATCCAATACAGTCATGTCAAATTATCTGGGCAACATACAAGTCTAGAGACGGTGAAATAAACAGAGTGGAATCTTAAAATACTAGAGACAAAATACAAAGAATAAGGCAGCTTTCTCCTGGGTGCCAACCCAAAAAATGTTGGTGTCCCGGGATAGAGCCTCCTTTTCTGACCTACACTAAAATTTTGTTGGAAGACACAGTGAAACACGGAAAAGAATAATATCTCGAATGTTGCCCGAAAATCCTGAAAAATTAGTAGCCTAAAATAATTTAATTTAAAGCGTAAAATTGACCTGCTATAGGATGAAGATTTTAAAAATCTTCTGATAATGTATTATTCACTCAGTACATATCAAAGGACTTTCATCAACATTACCAATATTAAAAACTGTCCAAAATATCTAAGAAAGTATTCTCTAGCCAAAGGGCTCAATATTTAAATCTAAATCTTCAATATTGTCTGGTTTATATCGCAACTTGGGCCCTCTGTCCCCCCTTATCGAAATAACTGTTAAGTTGTCTTTTATACCTCAAAGTGCAAGCGCTTTCCAAGATATGTAACTGAGTCTGAATATCGCTGACCCGCTATATAAGTAGGAAGCGATACTGGAATTATGCTATTCACTATTTTATAGAAGGTCATAGGATCGTTATAAATACAATTTTGTTAAACAGGGAGAATATTTAATTTTTTGGCTCTGTAGCAAGTTTATTGTCATTATAACTAGACTGGTGTACGGTTCACCATAGATACATTTAATGGCCCGCTTTTGAATAGCAACAACCTTTTCAAGATGAATTGCAGTTTGAAAATAATATGATTTCTCAATGTATTGTAAATTACTTTCATTTTTGGAATGTTTCGAAAGAAGTTTTAACAAGAATTGAAGGTACCAGTTATATCAGTAATAAGGAAAAACACAATGATTATCTATGGTTTCATCCTTGTGTAGCAAAGAAACGTTTTATAAATCTTTACTCCACTGGGAAGTATGAATAAATTACATTTTGTAATGTTGTTTTTATTCATGATTAATATTTGATAAATTATTACCTTTAAATTTGATGGAGAAATACTTATTTTTCCATGTAGTGTGATGATACTTTGTAGACATTAGAAATGATGTTATGTCATAATTTTTACTTTACTTTTACTTTACTTTACTTTACTTTTACTTTGAGGGGACCTTATGACAAAACTATGTTCAAATATTAACCTAATAAACGCGCTAAATAGAACGATCTTTTCTACTTTTTATCAATAGTGAAATAAATTGTTTTTCTAAGTAGTCCAAGTCTGGAGTTAGCTGTGCAAACAAGCGCTTTACGTTATGATTGATTGATAATGTCAACCATTTGAGATCCAATGATCGTTGTTTTGAAATGATAGTGCGCGCGGCGCGTCGAAGCAGTGACATCCTCCAAGCAAAAATAAAAATTGTGTATTAGTTTTGGGTTGATATGCAAATGAAAGCCTTGAATATTGGAAGACTTTGCCGCTTCGACACGCCGCGCGAAATATAAATATCATTTTTGCTTCGCATCGTAGATTGTTGTTACCTGGGGACCTCAGGCTATTATATTGATGTTTATATAATCATATCACATATAGAGATTTGCATTGGCGGAATTACAGGCTGAGCGCCGCCCTAATAAAGATTGTTGGTTTGTGCCCTTGCGGTTCATTCGGTTTTTGATTAACAATGTTAACCCGGCGAAATCGTTGTTTAACAAAGCAAATCAACGATTTTGCTTCGACAATCGAAATTGAAAAGCAAAAATATAAGTTCGCGCGGCGCATCGAAGTACAGTGGCTTGTATGTTATATCACGTTAACGGGTGATACTCGTAAAATATTTGTTTTGTATATTAGGACCGTTGACGCAGACGAGTCCAACTCGGCACGCGTCCTTTTAGGTTGTAAATTTAAAAGTATCACGTCGTGACTGACCACCACGGTCGTTTCACTATAGTAGAGTTTCTACGCGATTTAGATACAGTTTACATAGCCATGTGTCTATGCGTACTGCGTGACGCGCTTGTTTCACAAGACGGTCGCGCGCTACTGTACAAGCGAGAGGGCTTTGGTTAGAGCAATAGATACAGGGGAGCCGCACACTCGTGCGCGGCGGGTCATACAACGTATGACATTCGTTATGGAACTAAGTATAGATTACATAAATGTACAGGGTGTGCCAAAAGTCAGTGGACATATGTTGGCCTTAATAGCTCAGTCACTGAGTGCCCAATTGAAATAATTCTTTTTGGTATGACTTACTACCACCACTGGTTCGAGGAATTTGTCTAATCGAAAAATATTCGAGTTCATTTTTTTCAAATCAAGGTTCATTTTTGCATTTATGTTTATTTGATAGTTTGGATAGTCGAATCGATGATCGAGCTATAGTCGAATTTTATTGAATAGTGTCTGGCCATTCGAATTACGTTTTGTCCTATTTTTTTCACATAGTGCGATGATGATTTGTAAACATGTGTGATGATGTGATGTCATAAATTTTACTTTACTTTACTTTACTTAAGGCTTTTTTTTTCAGATGGACCGTATGGGTAACGCCAGCGGCGGAGAGACGACAACATCGCCCTCCGTAATGTTTACCTCAGCTACAGGACAATCCCTGTTTGCTACACTCCTCATCAGCTTCGCCACCTTTAACATACGTGGCCTCGGTTCTTGTGATGATCCAGACGACATCCACAGCAAACGGGAGCAACTGGGTACCGATTGTCTACGGTACGGCATAGATATCTGCGCTATTCAGGAGACTAAGGTTGTAAAACCGGATTCTTGCAGTCTTAGCAACGGATACAAACTATTATTGTTTGAGCAGAAAAATGGCCGGCACTATGGACTCGGTTTTGTTATCAGTCCCCGATTTATTGACTATG